GAGAGATAAACTAAAAACCCTTTTTTTATTTTCCAATCACCCAACATTAAAAGACAATTTCAGTATAAGCTTTTTGTTGTGTCCAACATGGATTTAGAGTCCCATGTTGGAAACAACTACATAAGCCTCTAATGACATGGCGATGGTTTTTATAGTTTGAAATGTAGAGCTGATTGTCAGAGTTATGTTGGTTTATGAACCAACTTGTAGCTTAATTTTAATTGTGCAATCGGCTTTGACTATAGCTTTCCCTAATTTAAAACTAATCCAAAAGTAATGTTATTTTCTTATCTAGATGGTGGGTCAATGATCCAACTTTTCCAAGAAACCCATGATGTCATAATTGAATAAAAAATATTTAAGTTTATTTTTAATCATAATATTACTTTTGTTAATTTTCAATTTCTATCTTAACTATGATATATATAAATTTTGAGTAATTAATATGAAGAAAATTTTCTCACATACAACGCATGTGCTTAATTACTAGTATAAAAAATGTGAACTTTTGAGAAACTACGCCAAAGAAAATTTCTTCTTGAACATGGAGAGGGATTCTTAAAAACATAGGCTTATTGAATAAGGGTATTAGTTAGAGAATTGGTAATGGTGAATCCTTTAAATTCTAGACTAACACGTGGGTGGGAAACCACCCCCTCAATTGCACTAGGGATTATAGTCCTAGAGAACAAGATCTTAAACTCAATGAATTTATAGAAGATAGGAAATGGAATAATGAGAAAATTCTAGATAAAGTTACTAAAGAAATCTAGGAAAAAAAACCATTCACATCCCTTCAAATGCAAATCAAGACAAATTAATGTGGAGACCAGATGCAACGGGAGAATTCACAATAAGGTCAACTTACAATGTGGAGACAAGATGCAAAGGGAGAATTCACAATAAGATCAACTTACAAATTAGAAACTAGGGATGAGAGCATTGAGGAAGGCCTAGGTATTAGAAGATTTGGAATCTGAATTACCCCCCAAAGATATGCTTCTTCTTGTACCTAATGTTAAACACATTATGGTGAAGAAGAAGATGAGAAGCACATCTTTCTCCACTAGAGGTGATCATGAAAAACCAAACTGAACTGATGAGACTAGACCAAAAATTCTAGTTAACCAAACCAATCAATTTGGTATTTTTGAAAAGTTGAAGGTATTGGTTTGGTTTTGTTTAACCAATATAAAAAATTGACGGCTAACCGAACCGACCGATATGCATATATTTAGATATATTATATATATTTATGTATGTTATATATTTCATATTATCTATATATTATAAATGAATATATATATGCATTATATAAATATATGTATTTATAATATAACATATAATATATTATTTATAATATAATATTATATATATTTTAGTTTTTTATTATATATTTATAATATATATTATAAAAATAAAAAAACCAAAAAACCAATGAATTGAACCAACGATTAACTGAACTGATCAACTAAGTGGGTGTTTGGCACCAAAGCGTTTCACAAGTGGGCCCCGATTCACAAGTGTTTTTCACCTTTTTTTGTAAAACATAAAAAATAATCGAGATGCAGGCTGATTGGGTGCTTAAAGTGATTTGACTTAATATTATAATATATTTACAATGATAACTGTATGACATCTTAGAAAAGAAGTCAACTTTTTCAAATTTCAATGTTCATGTCATCGCAGTAATTCAAGATCATCAAGGTGATTCATGAGATGTCAACTTAACTATTCCAGAAACCCCTCCTTTCCTGAATCTCAAAGCTAATCATTACAAAATGTTTTTTTTTTTTTGAAAAACAGGATTGCCAAATGCAATTTTCTTGTCGGTTTCGTTTATTTGCTGATGTGTTGTGAATGATATATCAACAAAAACGGAATGCTTGTGAAATGCTCTGGTGCCAAACACCTACTAATTGACCAATAAGCTTTAGTTCGATTTGAATTACCAATTTTCCAAAAACCGGTACTACCAATTTGGTTTGGAAGATAGGCCTAGAATTCGGTTAATCGAAACATGAGCACCCTTATTCTCCACAGCTAGATGACTAAACCTGTATGGTTAGATAATGAGTATGGATCAACTAAACCTCTAGAAAAATGAAGACATTGATGAGTAGTTGGAATGAATGATTAAGACTCATTAAAGAGATAGGGACAAGCATTATTTGGAAAAACTCAATATGAGATTATGGTGTGTTTGGAAGAATAGAAACAAAAGAATATTCGAAAGTAAATCCCCCCTTAGATTGTTATGAATCTTAGGCATAAAACGGTTTGTGCATGAATCCAGGTACAAACTGCAATTTTTTTTTTCTATTTTTTTTTCAATTCAAAATATAATGCAAGAATTTTAAGTGTAATTAGAAAGTAAAAAACTTAAGAAGAAAACAAAAAAAACAAGAAAAATTCACTGTACAAAAAATTCGTTTAACCCATTTTTATAGTCAAGTGAAGAAGATGAAGAAAAGCGGGTCCAAATCGACCCATTTTTTATTTTTAGGTAGGCCACACACCGGGTTTTCTATTCGGTTTCTTATATAGACCTGTATAACACTATTACACACATATGTATAACACCCATACATGTGTAACAGTTTTGTAATTATTATAAAATATAATAAGATAATAATCTTAAATTATTATATTATTGTTAAAATATGTTTAATAGTAATCTCATTACCTTAATTACAGATAATTAAAATTATTTTATTACATACAATTTATTATTTATAAACTTAGTTTATAAATATTTATAATTATAAAATTATTTAAATGTTCCGATAAATTTATAAATAACTTATACTAGAAATATTTATTATTTATAAATTTATAACGAATTTATAAATGCTTATAATTATAATATTATTTAAGCATTCCAATAACTTAATTTAAATAAAAAATATTAAAAGTAGCTAAATAATTATAAAATATATAATATTATGTAATAACTTTCAAAAAACAATAATTGCAATTATTATTATTTGTAAATTTATAAATAATTTATATTGAAATAATTAATTATTTATTATATATTTCTTATAAATATTTTTTAATAATTATGTCATTATTTCAAAAAATTAATAGAAATAACAAAATTACCAACATTTAACAAAAACTGTCACAATTACCAAAAGTTTTCAAAAAACAATACAGAAATGAATTAACCTTATTTTCTATAAACATGATAAGTTACCAAAAATCAATATAAATATCATTTATCTTTAAAAAACAAGGTCTAATGTTATTATATTTGTTGTTGTTAGTTAAAAATGATTGATGTCTATTGCTAATTGGGTTTATTTTATTTAATTTTATGCACTTTGTGTTTTGAAAATCATTGTATATTTGTTGGAAAATACTGTTACTTATAAATGTTGTTAAGTAACCATTAATTATAAATAATAAATTTTCTTGAAATTAATAGAAATAGCAGAAAATTACCAACAATTTATGAAAACTTGTCATAAATTAGTAGAAATAAATAGAAAATAACCAAGAATAAATTACCAATAGTTTATGAGAAATTGTCATAAATTAATAGAGTTTAACCGAAATTAACAAAAATAAATTACAAATATTTCCAAAAAATATGATATTTTCCAGAAAATAGTAGAAATAACAGAAAATTACCAATAATTTATGAAAATTGTCATATATTAATAGAAATAGTAGAAAATTAATGGTAATTTTTGTTACTACTTCTTATACTTAACCAATGATAAATTCATAATAAAAAAGCAACAAATTATAGGATTTATTATTGAAATTAAAGTACTTTGTGAAAATATGTACTAATTATCAATAACTACAATTATTTATGATATAGATAATTATTATTTATAAAATTATAAATAAATTATAAATTTTTTAATTATAATATTATTTAAACAGTGCACTAATTAAATATTTTAAATAAACATGTATCTTGGGCTTAACAAAGCCCGTACATCGTACGGGTCCCGCTAGTTGTATCTACAGCGCTGTATACACCAGCAAATTCAGATTCCAACTGTAGGCAATAGATGTCACCGTCAAATTGAATCCATTCATCAAAGCTTAACGAATGGTGGAGACCGGAGACCGAAGGCCGGATCTGTTGTGATTATGAACGCCATTGTTGCACGAGACAGGATTCAAAAGAGTGGTTTGCAGTAAATATTCACAGCAGATCCAGATCCTGACTCGCAGAGTACTCGTGCTTCAATAGTGACGACGTACCAGAATGTGGTAGTACGATCTTACACGTGTGCACACCATTGCACTCGTGTGGCAACTTCAGGCTTCAAATTTTAGACGGCTTCCTTTGGAGTTTGTCCACACCACCTCTGGAGTCTGGACCCTGTGTGAGGATACTAATTTAAGCCATACGTGGTTTCTTCACAGCCTTTGCTGCTGCCTAGCGGTTCACCACTTCACCTTGAGTATATTTTTCCATATCCTTTTTCTTCCTCCATCCATTTTGTTGACAATACTGATTCAGAAAAAATTCAAATTTAATCAAAACCCACTCATGAATTTTAATAAATAACACCTTATTTGCTTCCACCTTTGTGATTTCAGTTTATTGGTCAATTATTTTTTCTATATCATAGTCGAACCCTTACACGGCTGACGACCCAACTGAACCATATGCCAATCCAAATATCCAAACCCGTCTAGGATCCCATTGTGACCCTTCTGGGTTGACAACTAACAATCCGATCTCATGATTTACCTGAATGGATAGGATTGATACAGATATATTTACGACCATTTAGTAAACAAATAACATGGAATTAGGGTTTATTCGTTTTTAATCCGATCATATACCGATAGCTTTAACCGGATAGGGTCCGAATTTAATTTTGGATAAACGGATACCTGTTGAGCTTAAAACGAGTTCGAAGATTCGGGCAATATTGTAATTTAAGGATAAAACAAGGGCAATATTTAAAATTTATTTCCTTTTTATCCCCTTCGAAATTTAAGGATAAAACAAGTTCGAACGACAGAAATCTTGAGAGAGAGAGAGAGAGAGAGAGATCCCTCGTAGTTTCTCGTTATCCATCTAAGGGCGAGAACACCAGAGATAGAGAGCGGGAGATGGCGGCAGAATCCGTAAGAATATCAGTGTCTGGTTCAACGCTGTGCAGTTTCCATGGCTCGTTGAAGCCTCTGCCCGTGTTTAAGAATCGATTCCTTGGCCTCAACAGTTTCAGTGGACATTTCTCTGCTTCTCAGTTGTTCGGAAATATTCGTCTCAGTTCGAAACCTTCGAAGTTATCATATGTACAGGAGCAAAAGAGGAAACTCTCTGTTGTTGCCATGGCCGGTGACGGTCAGTTATTATTATAACTCTTTCTTTACTCTTTTACTCTTATTTGGCTATTAACCCAGTCATTGATTGATTTCCTGGCCTTCTCTAATATGTAAGGTTACTCGTTGATTTACAAGTGGTATTTTCTTTGATTATTAGAAAGTTGGGAACTTTTCTGTTTAAGTAGTAGTTACAACAATCGGAAATTTTAGCTTTTATTTTATATTTTATATTTTTTATTTTGTAGAGTTTATCTAGTAATAGTACTGTAGTGATGGCATTATTAAAATTGACAAAGGAAATCAAGCTTCTTGTTTATTTTGTAGTGTTTATATGCTACTGTCTATCTATTGTAGTGAATTATGTGTTTGGTGATGAACATATAATTTCTTATGTAATTTGACCTTTGTTTACTGCCAACCCCACAGTTTGGAAAAGAAATTGATGGATTGAGTTAAAATATGACACAATGTTCCCATGTTTGACCAAAAATTGTGGGCAAGCTACAAAGCAGTTTATTTCCATCCGGAATATGGGGAGGAGGACTAAGATACATGGTAATAATGCTTAGGATTTATTAAAACTGAGATTTTTCTAAAGTAAAATAATCTTCTGGCTAACCTTTGTGCTATCAGTGGTAGGAGAGGAAGGGATATTTTAACATCTTGTTAGTGTTAGCTTGTTTTTAAGCACAAGTCAGTTGGACTTTCTACAAACAGGTTGATTATGTCCTGCTACTTGCTAGGTTGCTCGTTGCGTTACCTGGACATAGAGATATGCCTATGGCATGCCCATCCAACATACCTCTGAAATTACTACAAGTTTGAAATTTTGAAGTGTCTTAGTATAAAAAATAAAAAAATAAAGAAAGGAAAAAGGAATGTATGTCACACTGACGAAGTAATAAGGTTTAAACAGAAGAGAAAACCAAAGAACATTCAAAATAGGCATACAAAAATAACATGGTTTTGCAGTGTGCCTAAACCCATGGGTAAAAACCATTAGAGAGAGCTTGCACTCTGAAGGTTTCAAAGTACAAAATAAGCCTTCAACAGAATAATTGTTTAGGCAACCCAATGCCAAACATAATAGGATTACTAGCTCCCTAAGGCCATTACCTAACATTGGCCCTTCCTATCTGGGATCTTGGAGGTGTGTAGATTGGATATGGACCTAACCTTTTTTTTTTGCACAAAATGGCTTCTCTAATACTCAAATCGCTTTCTCACACTTAGTCTTTCCTAGATCACTAGTTCACCACTTTGGAAATCCCTCAATAAAGATTAAAGGGTTCACATCACAAACAGGAAATAATAGGAATTTTGTACGAGAAAATGTTCCCATGTTTATGGTTTGTGGAGTCTCCCCTTGACTTCCCACATAGGGAAGAGGGGACCACACAACTCCCCCCCCCCCCCCCCCCCCCCCAACAAAAAAAAAAAAAAAAAAAAAAAAAACTAAAAGAAGAAAAGAAAAACTCAGTCTTCTAAATTTTAGTTGTTTGGGGATCCAATATCTGGGATAGAATCAAGACATAACCATAAGTTAGAAGTTAACTCTATGATCATATTGAGTAGGTTGCGAAGATGTAAATGGGAGGACATACACTCCTAACAACTTTATTTTATTTTATTTTATTTTGATCGCACTTATAATCATAACGGTAGTGCACTTCAACATTTGGCAGCATCTAATATTGAGGCTTAGAATCAAGTTTGGGGTATATCACTCTATAGTTAACATTATAAGATAGTCTTTCTAGATAATCATGTTATGTACAAACTTACGTTTATGTGCGATGCTAGAAGCACCATATTGCAATGATTAAGATACAGTGGAATAGCCAAACGGGTTTGCATGATCAATCCCAAACAGTTGGGATGCTCTGTTGAGTTAGGTTGTTGCCAATCAGTTAAGTCAAACTTCGTATCCAACTCCTGGGTTTTGTTTATCATGACTCATGACAAATTCGAACAGGAGAATGGAAAGGTTTCTAACCACATGCCAATGCAACGACCCTCCTCTATTTAGACTGTAGCATGAACACAAGCAAAAAGTTGGAAATATATTAACTTCATGTGAAATGATTTGTTCTTCAAATATGAACTTTGGATCTAGTTCACTTTGTCATTTAGTGTTTGGATATATGATATTTTATTTTATTCCATATTAGATGTTCATCTTTTGTTTATATTTGTGTCATTCCCTTCACAAATTCTATGTTGAAGACCTCATTCTTATCTCAAAGCAGTATGTTTCTATTCTATTCAATATGCAGCCTACTGCTATTGGCATCCATAATCTGGCTAATCTCTGCTTGGAAAGCTGGTATCTAGTAGTCAAGTGGGAATTACTGTTCTACAACCTTAATTCACTTGAGTCAAAGTATTATGAGGTTAATACTGATGACTTGTGCTTCTGATTGTCTTACATAAAAATATAAGATATAAACTATACTATTTGTGGTTATCTATCGGAGAAATATGTAACATTTTATTATAATATCTAACATGTTGGATATGGATTGTTTTCATGTTGTGTGCTTCTTCCAGAAACAAAGCGTACGATACCATTGAAGGATTACCGCAATATTGGAATTATGGCTCACATAGATGCAGGAAAAACTACCACAACTGAAAGGATTCTATACTATACTGGAAGGAACTATAAGATAGGTGAGGTACACGAGGGAACTGCTACAATGGACTGGATGGAGCAGGAACAAGAAAGAGGGATCACCATAACTTCTGCTGCAACTACCACGTATTGGAATAACCATAGGATTAACATTATTGACACTCCTGGCCATGTGGACTTCACTCTTGAAGTGGAGCGGGCTCTCAGAGTCTTGGATGGTGCCATATGCTTGTTTGACAGTGTAGCTGGTGTGGAACCACAATCTGAAACCGTGTGGAGGCAAGCCGATAAATATGGGGTCCCTAGAATATGCTTTGTTAATAAGATGGATCGGCTTGGGGCAAATTTTTTCCGAACAAGAGACATGATAATCACAAATTTGGGTGCAAAACCTCTTGTGCTTCAAATACCAGTTGGTGCAGAGGATAATTTTCAAGGAGTTGTTGATCTTGTGAAAATGAAAGCTATTCTTTGGTCAGGAGAGGAATTGGGTGCCAAGTTTGTGTATGCTGATATTCCAGCTGATCTACTGGAGTTGGCTCAAGATTATAGGACTCAGCTTATAGAAACAATAGTTGAGTTAGATGACAAAGCTATGGAGAACTACCTTGAAGGAGTTGAACCTGATGAACAAACCATTAAGAAGTTAATTAGAAAGGGAACCATCTCAGGCAGTTTTGTGCCAGTTTTATGTGGTTCAGCATTTAAGAACAAGGGTGTTCAATCATTGCTAGATGCAGTGGTTGATTATTTGCCTTCACCACTTGACTTGCCAGCAATGAAAGGGACTGACCCTGAGAACCCAGAAGTGACAATTGAAAGGACCCCAAGTGATGATGAACCATTTGCTGGGCTAGCTTTCAAGGTGATGAGCGATCCATTTGTGGGGTCTCTTACGTTTGTAAGGGTGTACGCAGGGAAGTTAGCTGCAGGATCATATGTCCTCAATGCAAACAAGGGGAAGAAGGAGAGAATAGGAAGACTTCTAGAAATGCATGCCAACAGTAGAGAAGATATTAAGATAGCTTTAACTGGTGATATTGTTGCTCTTGCTGGTTTGAAAGACACCATTACAGGTGAAACACTGTGTGAAGCTGAGAAACCTATTGTGCTCGAACGGATGGACTTCCCTGACCCTGTCATTAAGGTTGCAATAGAACCAAAGACTAAAGCAGATATTGATAAGATGTCAGTTGGACTCATCAAGCTTGCACAAGAGGATCCATCTTTCCACTTCTCAAGAGACGAGGAGACCAACCAGACAGTCATTGAAGGAATGGGAGAGTTGCATCTTGAGATTATCGTTGATCGGCTCAAGAGGGAATTCAAGGTTCTACATTTTCTATTAATTTAACATTTCATTTCAACATCAATTATATTGTGTGCATTACTTTCTATCATATGCCTTTCTTGTAGCTGCATGATTTTCACAATTTGTTGAGGTAATTCTTTCTTACAAACTTGACTTTGTTTGACACACAGGTAGAAGCCAATGTAGGTGCACCACAAGTTAACTACCGAGAAAGCATTTCTAAACTCTCAGAAGTGAAGTATGTCCACAAGAAGCAGTCTGGTGGGCAAGGACAGTTTGCAGACATAACAGTAAGGTTTGAGCCCATGGAACCAGGAAGCGGCTATGAGTTCAAGAGTGAAATAAAGGGAGGTGCAGTGCCAAAGGAATATATCCCAGGTGTGATGAAAGGCTTGGAGGAATGCATGAGCAATGGTGTACTTGCAGGCTTTCCTGTTGTTGATGTTCGTGCTGTATTAGTTGATGGTTCTTACCATGATGTCGACTCTAGTGTCTTGGCATTCCAGCTCGCAGCCCGAGGAGCTTTTCGTGAGGGAATGAGAAAAGCTGGTCCACAGATGTTGGAACCCATCATGAAAGTAGAAGTTGTCACACCAGAAGAGCATCTTGGTGATGTGATAGGTGACCTCAATTCAAGGAGAGGACAGATCAACAACTTTGGCGATAAACCTGGTGGTCTCAAGGTGCGTATCATGTATCCTTTCCCCTGAGAGGTGTCTCCCAAATTTTTGGTTAGAGAAATTATAACTGCTACAAGGTTGGGCCATACCAGTCTAGTCTGCATGATGATGTTTGTGGTCCAGGAAAAATGAGAAACCCTAGTCTTGATCTTTGCGTTCAAAGGAACAACATTGATCATATTTTACAATATGGTGGGCCTATCTGTTATCATGGTGATGTCATATATGAATCATAATTCGAGCATCACATAAAAGAAAATTGGTATAGGTTATTGACCATCCATTTCTATAATCAGGGTATCACAAAAATGTGTTTGGTGATAATGCAGGTGGTTGATGCCCTAGTACCATTGGCCGAGATGTTTCAATATGTGAGTACACTCAGGGGGATGACGAAAGGTCGTGCATCCTACACCATGCAGTTAGCAAAGTTTGATGTTGTCCCACAACACATCCAGAATCAGCTCTCCACCAAAGAGCAACCTGTTGCTACTTAATTTACTTTTTCTTCATTAATTTTCCTGTGGTAGTAGCACCTAGTAGAGTGCAAAAAAGTTTTGTCATTTTGGTGTGTAATAAGCAACATTCTAATTTATTTGTACCCATTTTTATACATTGGAAATCAAAATATAAATTTGGCAGGAAATATATTGGGCACCCCTACGTTATGAGCATACTTATCTGAGCCAGATTTTTCTAGGTTTTAACAGGAAGAAGTTTCCATTACAACTGGAATAAAAGCCCTTGCATTGAGCTTGGTATCTGTTGACCACAGGACACTGGCCATATCATGGACACAAGACACTACACCCACACATCAGGAACATCTTCCATGAATGACAACAAACTAGTTCGAGAGATATTCCTGATTGCAGCTGTGGCCTGTGGGGTCTTGCGGCCAGCATCTTGTGGTCAGCAGATCCGGACTTCATTGCATGATTGCATCTGAACTAAATTGAAATGAATATATGGATATTTTGCCTGTTTGGTATGGGCTGTGTTTGAGGTTTAGGTGTTTTAACCTCAAAGTGTCCACACAACACCCAATTGTTGTGTTTCCATTTCAACCATATACCTTTTTTATTGTAAAAGCTAAAAACGCAGATGAGGTAGTTTCTGCATTGTTTTACCCTGAAATCAAGGTTTAGGTTTTTCAACAGTACAAATTGATTGCGACACCTCACTGTCACGAATTCGGATTTGCTACTCATGGAGCATGCCTCATACCAACCTCACACCACATTATAGCTGTGCATTGGGAATATCTCTCATGAATGATAACGTATAACTATGGGAGATATTTCAATGTGTGGCTGCAAGTGCTGTGAGATTGATGTGAGGAGCAAATCTGGCATGGTTGTTTGAGAAAGCTAAAAAATTTGACTTCCTTGAACAAGCATATTCATTTAAGTGACATAACCCAACAATTTGTATCCTCTGAGAATGGGAACCACTTGAGTCTTCCATAGTAGATAGTTGTTGCGATCCAAACGGACTGCAATAAGATTGGTAAAATTGGTGATGGTGATAATTGACGTCATATTCACACCATTGGAGGTTTATCCCTTTGTGCCAGAGCTGGTAGCATTGCTTTATGTTGCCATGGCAGGAGAATCTGAAAGGAGGACTACTGATGTTTGTCAGGTTCAAGGCTCTGATACCATATGAGAGCTTGAACAGTAAAATAAGAAAAAAAGGCTCAAGAAGCGGATGAGTTGTTTGTATTGATTGCTATTTATAGATGATATACAATGATAGATTACAAGAAGATTTAGATATACAAAAACACAGAGAAGATAAGGTACAGAGAACAGAAAAATGAAAACTCTCATAACAGAATGCTTACCCTGAGGTCACAGAGTCATTATGATGCATGCTGACTTTACATGCTTATCATGTAGTGCCCGGGGTATATCTCCAACAAACAGTATGCTTTTCTTAATTTGTTCGAGGAACATATCATACAAACTGACTATGATTCTGTTTCTGTTGCTGTGTTTGGAGATTAGGACAAGCCAGCACTTGTTACTTATCCTGATTTAGCTCTAAACTGTAAGTTCAATGGTTTTAGGTGAAATCAGATTCATTGTTGTTTTTCTCTCATATTATGTGTTTAATATGAGACATCCCCTTTGTTGCATATGCATTTCATCTTGCATTTCTTGTAATTGGCATATGTATTAATCTTTACTATCTTTTCATTGTTGATTACATTTCTTTCATGCAATGTGATATATTTCTCTCTTCTTTTTCATGTGTTTGGCCAGATATGTCCTGTTTCCAAGGATTATTCTTTGCTAAATTCTGAAGAAGATCTCCATGGAGTCATAGAGCAGTGGTAAGGGAAGCCAAATCCTTTGGAAGTAGTCTAAACTGCTCGTTCAGTTTTATTCCTAAGATGGTTACATAGGTGATAGCTTGGTAAGATTTGGTGACATGGACGTGTTCGCGAAGCTAGACCGGTGTATTCTTGATCAAGTTAGGCAGTTAGAGGCCTGCTTAGTAGGTCATTTTGCTAATGCTGAGCTAGAAGAGGAGGAAGTTTTGGATTGGGTTACTGTGGATTGGCATCCAAGAAGTAAATAAAGTAAGAAAGTTAAGCACAAGATTTTTTCTCTTTGTCCTGAGTAGCAAGGAGGAAGCAGAGGAAGTTTTGGTTTGTGAAATCGTTAAGGTTAGATATCTGTAGTTAACATTGGGCAGGTGGAGCCTGTTGGTCGGAGTGTTACGCGAAGTAGGATGTAAGAGTTTGGTGTGGATCAATGTTTTCGGTATTCCTCGTCACACCTGGATTTTCGAGGTGTTTCATTTGGTGGGGGATGCGTGTGAGAGATTTAGGAAAATTGGTCCTTGGATAAACTATTGGAAGAACTTGACATTGGTGAGAATTCTTGTTGAATTAGATGATATCCATTTAGTCTCATTGTCCTTGGTGTTGCATGTTGTAGGGGAAAGGTTTGATCTTCATTTAGTTGTTGAAGGCTGCCTACCTTTGTATTGGCTTGATGATGTTGAGTTGGTGGAGCTTGTTTGAGGTTGGGAGACGAATGGCTCTAACTCGGTTTGGTGGGAGCTGAAGGGTTAGGGAGGTGAGAATGTGGAGGTTGAAGGTAAGGGCATCTTTGGAATGGGTGGCATTAATGATGTTGAGCTGGGTGGGCTTTTAGAAGTTTGTTTGGAGAGTGGAGTTAGTAGGAAGGAGGTAAGGGAGATTTGGGGGCTAAGTCATTCGGTTTGGGACCAGTGCAAGGTGAAGTCAAGGGGTAGGGAGGGAAAGGTTCGAGAAAGGGAAGGGAGTCGGTGGTTACAAAACGAGGGGGAAAGACATCTGAGTGGGGCCTAGTTTTCCAAGAAAAAGACAAGAATTAAACATTGTTGGGGTAAGCTAAGAGTTTTTAAAGAGAGGAGATTTTAGGGGTTTAAAAGATTGGGGGTTTTGAATAAGGGAAAAAGGAGCGGTAATTAGGTGAAGACATCAAGTGAAAAGTGGGTTTGGGTTGCAACAAGGTTTAAGAATGGAGAGCATGCGAAGTCTGTTCCGAAGAGCGTCGAGCTGGTGGAAGGTTGTTGTGTTGAGCAACTGTTAGAGGATCATGTTTCAGGAGTTGTTGTAGGGGAATATGTTGAGGAAGGGTCATGTGAAGAGTCAAATGAGGTTGTTCAATAGGTTCTGAGTGATACATATTCAACAGTTGGTCGATTTATAATTTTTTTATCAATAACAAAATTTCATTGAATTCAATTAAGAAAGAATTACATACAAACAGAGGGAGGTAAACTGTCTTAACTTTTCCCCCAAGCACATAAAAAATGGAATTAGAAATAACCCCAAAACATAGAAACCTTATTCACCCCTTGCTTAGCTAGCCCGTCAGCAAAAGGAATTTGCAGTTCTTTTAACCCAACTATACTTTACTTCTATATCCTTTGCTAGCCATTTAAAATTTTTTCCTCTCATTGTTGTATTTCCACAAACCAAGCTTGTTTTCCTTTAACCAACTTACCACCACCTCCAAATCTCCTTCAATAATCAGCCTCCTAATATCCCGATCTCTTGCTCTTTGGAGCCCTTCCAAGGCTGCTGATATCTCATCCCTAAGAGAGTCACCCTCTCCAATTGGGCCAGAGAAAAGGACTAGAGCATTCCCTTCCTCATTTCTGAAAATCCCCCCAATACCTGGCTGTCCTGGATTCCCAATGCTACTACCGTCAAAGTTCAACTTTATATAACCAGCAGGAGGGGGGGAGATCCAAGAAGGACTTATGATCCTCTTAACCTGGACTGAGTTTGCTATTTCTTTCCAGCTTCTTAACAAAACATCCACAGAAAAGTCTGAAACCAGATCCATGGATTTCAACCAGTGTACTATCCTTAAACGGATCAACTCTATTAAGTTCTCAGCATCCCTCTCCCTTTCCGAAAAGATCCTGGAGTCTCTTTCTTCCCACAAAGACCAACATACAGCAGCCCTAACACTCCTCCACATTATCCTACCCCTTTTCACTGGCCAGCTGAAAAAGGATGGAGAAAACAAACTCTGTACATTCAGTAGGGGGTTCCAGCTACACCCAAAAAGGGATAAAGCCCAACCCCAAACAGCTGTTGCATAAGTGGTACCCAGTCTCTCCATCAGGTTTGCAAAGAATACACCTGTGCGGGGATAAACAAGTCTTGGGTCTTTTTCTTTGAAGTAGATCGCAAGTGTTGATTCTTTCCATAAAAGTTTCCCAACAAAAACTCCCAACCCGAGGTGGAATAGGCTTGCACCATATCTCTAACATGGAAGGGCAACCCAAGGGGAGTAGGTTGCTGAGTTAGGGACTGAAAGAACGAGGCACAAGAGAAAGAACCCGAGGGGGATGGGGTCCAGATTCTACAGTCTTCCTTTAGAGGGTTCAGGAACAGATTTTCAAGGATTGCCAGGAGGGTCATAGTATTTCCTAGGTCAATGTCCCTAACAGCCCTTCTCAAATTCAAATTCCACCCAAAACCAGAGGTTGCATCTGAAGGGACTGGAAAGGAAGAAATGGTTTCATTCTTTAGGTTAGAAAGAGCATACAAAGAGGGGAAAGATTTAATGTGGGTTGTTCTTGGGCTCTTAAGTTTTCATGTCCTAGATCTAGTTTGGTTTCTCCTCAAGCAGCATTGTTGCAAGATTTTGAAGCTTCAATTTGCAATCAAGTAGGAAAGATTGGAGTTGATTTGCATAGAAGGAGGGAGATGCTAGCTTCCGTTGTTTCCGGTGAAGGATTGATGGTCATGAAGAAGATCAGAGGTCCAAGAAAGTCTCATCTTGTGCATGTTTCGAAGGTCTTCTCATGTTTGAAAAGGGGCTTGTCATGGCTGGCCCTAGTAATAAATAGAAAAGTGTGTTTAGGAGAAGAGGGGTGAACATGAAAGCCATGAATCAGAAGGTCCCTCATTTGGTTAGTGTTGATAGTCAAAGTGGTTCTGTGGCACATTTGTATAAAGGGGAGTTGGAGAGGTTGGGAGCCTTTAAGGAAAAAGAAAAAAAGGTGGGTGAATGCGAAGTCTTAGGGAAAGTTGACAAGTTGACTGCAGTGTTGAAGGAAGAAAGTGTTGGAAACTTAGATTTAAAGAGACTTGTGGATAAGGATATGGAGGTTGGCAAGGTTTTGGGATTGTTTTTCTTAGGTGGAGAGACTTTTGCCG